GCTCTTCCGTACTGTGATTGTACTGGTGGTTCGAATCGGAGAGATTCGTAGACGACCGATTTCGTCAGCGGCATCTGATCGAGGGCGCCGATCGTGAGATGTCCACCGTTGGATTTGATCGCCGATCGGATTTCTCTGGCCAATTGTGTGTGGAGCTGTTCTCCGGCTTCACCTATGTGCTTGAGAACGTTTGGGAACAGGATTTTGAATCCTCCGAAGCTGTTGAAGCATATGGAGAAGAGGATGTTATGACATGCTTCGTCTCGTGAGATCCCTAATTTCTCTGCTTCATCGAGGAACTTTGCAGACGATTCGTTGAAGAAGTTGTAGAGACGGGAGTATTCGGATTTCACCAGAGAAGATGGGAGACGAAAATTGTGGAGAAGAAGATCTTCGAGAATCATTGGGAGGCCGAGAGAGATCACTGGGTGAAGATTGAGCAGAACCCATTTCCCGATCAGCTTCGGAGCTTCATTTCCGAGATTCGTATGAACCGGGTTCGCTCCAAGTAACGACCGCGACAAGAAATTGAAGGCGGCGATCTCGCCGGCCTCGACGAACTCGGCTTTTCCTGTAGAGTCCAACTCAGTCTCGAGCTTCTTGAACAACTCAGCGTACACGGCTTGGAACTCAGGGATGACTCGGTCACGCGACGATTTGAGTATGAAGAAGAGAAGGTTCTTGAGCTTTCCGTGGTTGAGTTCACTCGGGTCTAAGTAAGAGAGCACTCGGTGGCCTCCGGTGAGTTTGGTGCTCGGCATGAAAGTTCCGGTGAAGAGATTCTTCTTCTCGACCTTACTCGTGTCGAAGAGCACCGGAAAACTCTTCCCGTCGAGCAAAACGACGGCGTTTGGATTCTCGGCGATGAAGGGTCCGGGAGGCAAGTTGACCCGGAAAACCGTCGATCCGTATTTCTCGACCCGTGACCGGAAAAATTCCATGTTGCCCTGAAAATAGAAGTAATCAAACCGGTCCTTAACCGGTCCGAAGAACGGTAAACCATAATTCCCAGGGACCTCGAGGATCGGGAGGTTCGTGGCGGTGGGACTTGACCGATGGGCCGCCGTCGATGGCTTCTTCAAGATCGAGGCCCGTATCCGGCGAATGGGTACGCGACAAGTGGAATTTTCCGGCGACGTTGTGGAGGTCGAACGGAGGAAAGGAGGAAGAGGAGACACCAGTGGTGAAACTGCCATGATGGGGTTTCGTGATGCGGTCTGATTATGTGTAATGATTATACAAAACTTTATGGCATGTGTATATGTTGTTTTCCGTATTTATAAGTCAATATAATATTTAGATAGAATTATTCAATATATATAAATTTTAACTCATAGTGGGTGTATTTTTCAGCTTTTTAAATTCCACGCGTGTCCTGCATTCATCGTTGTTGAATTCTATTATTCTATATATGTAATCCAAGTTTGAACCTCAAGTAGGGTATACTTTTATTGTTAGAATTGGACAAGTCTTTTTTTTAAAAAAAAAAAAAAATCCAATAGTTTTTGCACGTGTTAATTCGGTGAAAGAAATCGAAAAATCTTTAAAATTGAACCAATCCAAAAGAAAATCTGAAGTTTTCGATTTCATTTAGTTTAGTTTTTATTTCGAGATTAAGTCTTAGTTGTTTTGATTTTTATGGATTTCCACAAGTTTATTTGGTTTTAAGTTTTACGTTGGATTAAAAAAAATATTTCGTCGTATTACTGAAATCAAATAGATCCGAATAAGATAGAGCCCAAAAAAAAAAATAAAGAAACAAAGACAAAGGGAGGAAAAGATATATAATGTGTTTGTCAAAATAACTTCGTATAATGGTTTTTATATAATAATACAATACAAAATGGCGGATATTAGTTTGGTTTTATGGAGAGAGATCAATAGTAATTGTTATTAATTTTGTATTATTTAATTTAAATAATTAGAATTAAATATTCTAGTCACGTGACCATGTCTATAATTTTGATATTATTATGTTTAATAATAAATAAATAATATTTTGTATCTGTTGACTTTTTTTTGGTGGATTGTGGTGGGTACCAAATTAATAATGGCATAATAAATTATAGAAAGCATTAAAAAACGGAAACAAATTTGTTCTCTTTATTTTGATTGGAACAATAAACAAATATAAATCTTGATAAAAATCGCAATCGGACACTCTGCTTACGTTGCGGGATTATGGTTTTTTACCTAATCTTAGCTGCATGAGTCTACGTGGTGGTTGTGGCGTTTTCGTGGTTCCAATATATATATATATATACACAACAGCTTTATATTACATTAGCATTATGTTAGGATCGAACATGATAAATTACTGTGAGACATGAAAGGAAATCTTACAAAAAAATTTAAAAGAATAAACAATAAAAATGAAATGTTGAAGGAACATGGTCCTCATAAAAAATAATCCGCATATATTTTAGGAAATTTTTGTGACTTACTCTTTTCCACACTATACTAGTTCTAACCCTAATTTCTTAGAATTAAATCTACGGAATAATATATTTTATTGATAATCAAAATAATATATAAATAGATAAAATTCTTATATTTAATAAGTATAGTAGATATAATAATAAATATTTATAAATATATATTTTCCGAATTTGATAAAATCTCCGTTATACGATATATCTTGTAATATTTTTCAAGGTCCGGTATATCTCAACAAATTTCTCGTCGTCGCCGGTGAAGTATCAAAGTCTCTCTTTGCCGAGAGTTGTCTCTTCAAAGATTGAAAGAAAAGAAACGAAAACTGCATAAAGTAAATGGACACCATTGTACGAGTTCGGAAAATTGAGGGCTTTCTTGATTCACAGCAAGAAAATCATAAAAAAATGGCGATGCCTCTGCAACGGCTATTTAATAGCCAAAACCACCGCTCCGTGATATTACCAAACTGCCCCTTAGCTCATTTATTCGACACAGCTTGATACGTCACCGTTTTGCCGAAGCCTCTGCTTCTATCAGCGGCTTTCCCTTCTTCCTTTTCCTGCTCTGTTTCTTGGCTATACCCAAATTATATAATGTAAATGTAAATTTTGTAACTGCGTAAAATGAGTCGTTGTTCGCAAACAGATTCAAAACCGATTTGGTTTTGAGGGATTTGATAATAACCTAAATCGAATCAAAACTGAAATCAAATCGAACCGAATATAATATAATAACCGATTATTATCTATTTTTTTAAAACCGATTTTTTTTCTTTGATATAATAATAAATTCAAAAAAATATATTCTATTTTTTATTATTTTATTTTTAGTTATATTGTTCAACTGTTATTACATATATAGTTTTGAAATTTTTAATATCATGTTTTTTTTTTCAATTTGACGCCTTTACATTGTTTTTATAGCTTATCTATATGCTCTAATGGAATGGAATCGTATTTACTCTTGGTATCACCATAGGTGAGGTGCTACTAGCTAACGTTCAAATGCCATTGTACATTATGTTGAAAGGAGAGAAAAAAAGATTTCGTTAAGATTAGATTTAATTGAAATATATTAAAAAAAATCAGAGATAATTGATATAAATTTGAGATATAAATTAATTATAAAATCAAAGCGTCAAATATCTCTTATCTTTATACAATTTTATTTCCTCTAATCTTTTTACCTTATTTATTTTGCTGGGCTTACCTATAAATATATAGGTTATTTTTATTGTAATATGATAAGAATAAGAGATGTAGTGATTATGTTTTTCTTTATATATTTTTTTATTTTACTTTTTCAATACATTAGGCACAAAATTTCACATAGGCATTTGGCATATCTTATATACATTTTTTTACTTCTCCTTTTTTTCTTATCAAGCAATTCATGAAGAATGAATCTGAAAGGAAGCGGTTGTTTTCTTCTATGAAGCTTGTTTGAAGCTTGTTTGAAGCTTGTCTTCGGCCCCATCCCTGCACAATTCTTGCTGTTTCCATACCAACCCTTCACCGAATACGGTTGACATGAGAAAATGGCTCTGGATTGGATTTAGGTGCTGCTTTTGCGGCTGGCGCTGGAACTCCGAAAACATTCCAGAACCTCAGTGTTTCGTCTCATCTTTAAAATTCTACAGTACAACCGTCGGGACTCTGACAAAAAAGCCAACATATATTGACACATGAGAACCGAAACAGGGGCATCAATGCGAATCATCGTTAGCTGTTAGAAAGGAGTCATGGTTCATTCAAGTCCTACCTGAGCCATATGGGTGCTGCTTTTGCGCCTGCCTCTGGAACTCCGAAAACATTCCAGAACCTCAGTGTTTCGTCTCCTGCCGCTGAAGCTACAGTACAACCGTCGGGACTCTGACAAAAAAGCCAACATATATTGACACATGAGAACCGAAACAGGGGCATCAATGCGAATCATCGTTAGCTGTTAGAAAGGAGTCATGGTTCATTCAAGTCCTACCTGAGCCATATACAGAACTCTGGATGTATGACCTGTGAGCTCGGCCGTTTTCACCATGGATGGGTACTTCCAGAGTGTGAGCTGATTCTGCGTAAACCCATGTGAGCTAAGCAACTCTCTTTCGTTCTTGCTCCATATCAGAGCACAAACCTGTGAGCCAGTGTCCATTGAGTTCAAGCAAGCTCCTGTGTGTGTGTTTCAGAACTTGATGGTCCTATCTCCTCCACCACCCCCGGTTGCAAGCAAGTTCCCTTGGAAAGGACACCATGCAAGAGCCTTAACCGCAGATGTATGATCCTCAAGCCTGTGGAGCCATTGCGTCGGTGAGTTTGAGGATGCCATGGATCGATCCCATATGTGTACGAGGTTGTCGTTGCCACCACTTGCTAGTTGTTGGCCGGATCCAGACCATTTCAACCCACAAACCTCTTGGCTGTGGCCCCTGTAAGTCTCCACTATATGTGATCTGATCCTGACATCGTTGTTGATGATCTGTCCATCCATTCCTCCCGTTGTCAGTATGTGATTATTCCATGCCAATGACCCTACTCTTGAAATGTGGCCACCACGCAATGTTCTCAGCTGCAACCAATACATCACATCGATTTAGGACGCATAAAAGAGACATTTTCTGAAGAAAGTGAGCCACGCTTGAGATTAGGAATTACTTGACGGTTGGATGCCGAGTCCCACAACTGCACTTCAGAATTATTGAGGCCAACTGCAATATGTCGGCCATCAGGCGCCCAATTAACACTCGTGACAGGTCCACTTTCGTCATCAACCGTCACAAGCTCAGACGTGGAACCATTGGAAGCATCCCACAAATACACGGTTTGGCCCAAAGCTATAGCAAGAACATTTGCGCTGCCCCAATCCAGCAAGTTGAGGTAGAAGTCATCCATGATGTCGGGGGCGTCCAACGTTCTCTCAGATGTCTGTCGTTACACAGATCCGAATATGAACATTCGATTTTGCAAGTAAATGAATCTCACAAATCAATGCATCTATGTATACACACCTGAGGAATGTATCTACGAGGCTTCGCAGACTTAGGCTGATGGTTAAGAGAGGCAGAGTGGTCGCTCGGAAGCAGTGCCATAGGAGCAGGAGGCTTGTTCTTGAAAGCAAGAATGCGGCTGCGGTTCATGTCTAAGGTCTGGGCCAATTGCTTCCTGTATGCCTCTCTGGATGGAGAACTCACTGCTGCATTTGCCGTCGTTTGCTCTTTTCCTTTCCTTCCTTCAGTCAGCATGTAGTGAGCGTAGTCGAAATCCATGGCCGATCTGTTCGGTATGAATCGATCCAACTGGTGGAATACATGTTATTGGGATTTAGAACTCAAATAATGAAGTATGTTAAATCTGATATAAAAAATGGCATCGATTCTGAGATTATGGGGCACATTGTGTCCTGAGTTCAGATGTCCTAAAAAACAGAAAATCTGTCTATCCACCTTATGACAAATCGGATCAATGCTTTTATTCCAGAATCAATGATCACGAATTTGCAATCGATACTGAATCAAAACCATAAATTTGAGATTTTGAGCATGTTTATGTTCCATAGCTCAGATGGGCTAAGCTAAACACTAAAATCTTGTAACCGATCCCACAAAAACTCGAACTGATGCTTGATTTCTAGAACCAATGATCACAAATACGTAATAGAAATGAGAATCTAAGCCCTAATTCCGGACTAAACCATTTGAAAACAGTAAAACGGGCACTCCGAAATCAAGAAACAAAATGATCAACGGAATCAAAGGGCCCAATTACTAGAATCGAAGAAGAATATTTACGTTTTCCTTGGAATTTCTTCTGGGAAGAAATTGCTCTTGAAGCGGGCATCGAGCTTGCGCTTTCAAATGCGAAGAAGTGTTCATACTACCTGCATCCATGTTAAATCCAACACAAAAACAAAACAAAAAACACAGAGAAACACAAAACCAAGATCGCAAGAAAAAAATGCAGATTCACGCGTTAACAGAAAAAAAAGATTGGCAAATTCAGATAATCAAACCGAGACCAAACAGGAAAAAAAAACTTCAGAATAAAAGCCTGCAGAGAAAAATCGAACACGAAGCAAAGGATGAATTAGAAGCAGCACAGAGAGAGAGAGAGATTTTGAAGAGGAAGAGTCGCTTGGAAGCCTTGGATGCAATGTGCCGAAACTGATTGAGTGATTGATGCAATGTGTCGAAACTGTTATTTATAAGGATCTGAGGAAGAATTGGGATTTAGGGTTTTTATGTTTAGCCCTAATTTTGATTTACTTCGGATTCGTGAAATGAGTGGCCTTTTTCAGAAAGAGCCGTTGAGAATTATGTTGACAAAAATGCCCATCTTGTTTTTCTTTTTATTTGCTCTCCTTTAAATTAGTTGAATAATCCCTACAACCAATGTTTTTAGTGAGGAAGTTGGATTTTTATTTCTTTTTTTTTTTGGGAAAATTCTTACTAAAGGCTTTGGTATGATTTGATTTATTTTTTAAATCCAAATCCAAACATATTTTTGGAAAGTATGAGAATAATATTTACAAATTTGACTAGAAATTAATATGTGGATATTGTGTCAAATCTAGATTCAACTGATATTTTGTAATGAAACATATTCAGATTTCAAATAAAATCGTTATTGATTAGGATTGTTATTTGGAAGTTCAAAGTTTATATATTTACATTTTTTTCTAATAGTTTTATGAAAATAGGTTCATTTAGATTCAAATTTAGGGGAATTCTGTCCAAATTGCAGTTGGCAATTACCCACCAGAGATTTCTAGATAAAATTGGCCAAAGAATCGGAGCTCTCTCTCACAAACGTTGAAGGATGTATTCAAGGCCTCCCTGAAACCCAAACGAAGAACAATGTCTGATTCATGGGACAGGACAACCAAGGTGTCTTTGTTCCATTCAAGCTCACGAATAATCGAAAACATCAAACAAATGACGGAGAAAACCCTAGCCGAAATCGACGGCAATGGCGAAACGCAAATCCCACAGGGAGAGAGAAAGAGAGGAGAGAAAATCAGGCTACCGTTCTGCTTCAGCAACGGCGGATATCTTCGTCAAGAAAGATTTAGTAGAGTGACGCTTCGAAATTCGCCCATGGCGCACCCATATCTCGTCGGTAAATCACCGATTCGAGAATCCTCCGCCGCAAAAGCGGCCACCGTCGCCGGCAAGATGCTGTCGAAATGGCAGAAGGGGAGAGAGAAGAAGAAGAAGAAGATGGACATTTAGGGTTTTAAGGTAGGGAAAACCGTAGCTCAGTTCCGATAACAGGCGTCTCCATGAGAGAGAGAGAGAGAGAGAGAGAGAGAGAGAGAGAGAGAGAGAGAGTTTCCGAGAAGTGAGTTTCCTTTTTTCTCACCCAAAAGAAAGAACAAGAAAAAGGCAATAACCGACGATTTCACTTTTCCGGTGTTAAGAGATTTCCTAAAGAAAAAAGGAAACACAATTTCCGGTGGAAGAAAAAAGGAAAAAAAAAAACAAATCCGCCATGAAAAAAAATAGAGAGAGAATTGTGTTCATATTGAAAAGCATGCCATATAAAAGGAGACATGAACAGTACACAACTATGTCCCCTCACCAAATCTCTCTCTCGTAATCTGTCTGAGAATTCAACAATGGGAGGGAGGAAGAGAAAGATTCCAATGGAGAAAATCGAGAAGAAAGAGTCGAGATCCGTAGCGTTCTCTAAACGGCGGGAAGGTCTTTACCGCAAAGCTTCTGAGCTCTGCCTTCTCTGCGACACTCGCATCGCCATTTTAGTCACTCCTCCTTCTGCCAAATCCAACGTCTCCTTCTACTCCTTCGGCCACTCTTCCGTCGACGATGTCGTCGATGCTTTCCTCCACAACCGACCTCCGACATTGTCCGACGACCACGCCTTGTCCCGCATTCGCGCGGCGAAGAACAAGGATCGCTTGGCGGGAAAGAAACCGAGTTCGGGACTGGGGTTTCGCTGGGAGGAGGATGGGTTCGAGGAAACGGATAACATACGGGATTTGGAGGTCGCCATTTATGAGATCTCCGAGCTCATGAACAGCGTGAGACTCCGACAGAACGTCATGAAGAATCAGAGACCTCGTCTCGTGGAGACGACGAAGCTTGGAGAGTCATCGGTTCAGGGTTTGGACAACGATGGCGGAAAGCATGACGAAACTCTTGCCGGAGACCTTGCGCCGCAAGTTTCAGACCAACCCATACACACAGAAGCCATAGCGAATTCTGATATCTGTTTCGAGGAATTGGGAGAAGAGCCAAGAATGGGAGAGGCTAGTTTGCTGTCTGAAAATGATTTGAAAGATCCCGTAGATGGAATCAATTTTGATGATTTCGCTGACTTCTCATTTGATTTCTAAGTAAGAAGTTGGATTCCTTGTAATAACCCACTTTTATAAATATATGGATAATGGATTCTTCATGTTTTCAGCTTTCGGTGTTGTTGAAAGCCTGAGAAAGATGGATGGAACTTAAAGTTACCATATTGATCCGTTGCATACAGTCTATTTGTTCAGTGCCTGCAGAGATTGTTATCAAGAAATCTTTAGCACCTTTACAGCAGTTTCTTCCCCATCTCTTGAAATCCCCCCTGTAAACAACGCCGAGACCTCCTTCGGGTAATAGATTCGAGTCGAAAACCCATCTGTGTTGGGAATAATCCGATCCAATTTCTCGTACATTGCAGATTAAGACAAACAGCAGTTAATGCGCAGTTTGTATTTGGATTCATAACTGTATAGGCAGTATGCACATTTCAAGGAAAGAAAGAGGGGACTTGCAGAGTATTTTCTGTCGTTTCTTGAATTCAAAGCATCGAAACACAATTGAGAGAGAGTTTTCACTTGATATCACACTGAACGAACTCGTCGGGTGTGCGGTTTTCGACATTTTCACAGTAATTATGTGGAAAATATGTGAAGCAATATTGCAAATAGTACGCAACGAGGCGAAGGCTTTCATGTTTCACTTTCCTTTGTTACAAGCCATTTCGACTGACAAAGCATATCTGAAGACAAACCTTCTCTTATTCACAAGGAAAACAAAACAAAGCATACCCAAGACAGTGGATTTCTTACAACTTTTCTGTATGTTATCACGCAATCTTATTCAAATCCGGTGATTTTTCGTATTCAAGAATCCTCAAAGCTCATAAAGCTCCTGCTCGAGGCGTGGAGTGAGAAGAACTTCAAGAGGTGTGGCTTTAGGAATCGTTAAACCAGGACTCTCCCTCATATCGACCTCAGAATCCGAAACAGTTAACAGATCGAACGAGTGAAGAACCCGAGCAAGTGACAGATGAAGCACTTGGAGAGCCAATGAAGCACCTGGGCACGATCTTCTTCCTGACCCAAACGGCATTAACTCGAAGTTTTGTCCCCTCACGTCATATTCTGTTTCTTTTCCTGTGAGAAACCTCTCTGGTCTGAACTCTTCCGGGTTTCGCCAAACTTTTGGATCCCTTTGGATCTTCCAAACGTTAACGATCAGTCTTGTACCCGCTGCAACTTGATATCCTGCAACCGTGCAATCTTCCATCGCCTCTCGTGGGCCTAAGAGAGGACCTGCCGGGTACAATCTTAGGGTTTCCTTGATGATTGCTTGAAGATAAACTAGGTTTTCTATGTCTGAATCCTCTACTTGTCTGTTTTTGCCGACATGGATGTCTATCTCTTCTTGCGCCTTCTTTAGCATTTCTCTGTTGTTTAGGAGCAGAGCAATGGCCCATGTTAGTGTTCCTGCTGTAGTATCACTTCCTCCAAGAATTAGCGCCTGATAATGAAACAATCATGTGAAAATTGTGATATCCTTTGATATATAAATATATATATATATATGTATGTATATACAAGAATGAATATAGAGTGTAAAATTCATGCATGTCCTGAAATCATTTTAAGAAGTAAAAGATGGTACCAGGCACGTAGATTTGATGCTGGTCCTTGGATCATACTGAAGATCTGACAACTTCCCTTCTCCCTCAAGCGATAACATTACATCAATGAAATCAGAATCACCCTCACTTTGTCCGGAAACTCTCCTTCTCTGATGTTCATCGATCCATCTTTCCAGGATCCCATCGAGCTCGGATGCCGTCTTTCTCATCTCCTTCTCGTGACCCTGAAGGTCAAACCATCCCAGAAATGGCAGAGCATCCGAGACAACGAAAATGCCAATCAGATGAAAGAACCGGGCGATGGCTCTCTGGCATTGCCTCGCCTCTTCTGCATCCTCCATTTTTGCCGAGCTTCCGAAGTAGCGTTTTCCGGCAACCATTTTCACGATCATGTTCAGGTTCATGTCCTCCAACCACCGCTTGAGATCAACAAGGACAGGGCTCGAACCACCTTTCTTGGACCACAAGCCATGCAGATCTTTAATGCCTATATCAACATCATAGAGCATGTTTAATGGCTAGTTCTTGAGCTTAAACTATGCAGAAGAAGAACCTGTTACTGTTCTAAACATTCTTGAATCCATTGTTACCCGTCGAGATTTCAGAAATCCGGACATGCTTTAGCATCTGGAGCCTTCGGTTAGAAAGAAGCTCAACAGTGGCAATCTTTCGCATCTTGCGCCAGAAAGAGCTGTACGGAGCAAACCCGAAAACCGCATAGTTGTAACCCATGTGTTTAGACGCCACGGTCATTGGACGTGAAGCCAAGGCTTTGTCATTCACAGTGAAACACTCCTTAGCCACCTCCCAGCTACTAACCACAAACGCTCTACGGCTTCCCACGCGCCGGGGGGAGGCTGGCCCGTGATCGTCAGCCATGGCGCCTAACGTTCGGTAGAGAAGCTGTTCTTTACCGCCCAGAAGATGAAGGTGGCCGATTACGGGCCATGAACCGGCCGGTTCAGGAGCATTTCTATGGTTTGGTTTCTTTGTTTTCATGAACAGTGCAGCGAAAACGGAAGAGATGACGAGAAAAGAGATGAATATGGGAACTAGTGGCCCGAGAGACAGATCCATACGTGTCTTTTTTTTGTGTTACGTACTTAGATTATGCTTGGTAAGTGAAATGAGACTTGGTGGGCGATTTTGTGATAAGAGAGAGAAGTTATATATAGAGGGTCGTGAGGGTGTTTCACTATGCATGGGAGAAGCCAAAGTAGGTGTTGATCTTGGCGAGATTCACGACAGAGAATTCTAATCCATTTATTAATGCAATCTTGGGTGTTTACTCGGGAAGTGTCCACTTCATCACCAAAACCGGGGTGGACCGTTCGTTTCGGTTAATAATCGAAATAACCGAACCGAATGCCTACCTAAAACCAAAACACAATGGCGATAATTTTATTTTAAATTATGTATATAGCGCAGGGCGAAGGCTGGCCCGTGATCGTCAGCCATGGCGCCTAACGTTCGGTAGAGAAGCTGTTCTTTACCGCCCAGAAGATGAAGGTGGCCGATTACGGGCCATGAACCGGCCGGTTCAGGAGCATTTCTATGGTTTGGTTTCTTTGTTTTCATGAACAGTGCAGCGAAAACGGAAGAGATGACGAGAAAAGAGATGAATATGGGAACTAGTGGCCCGAGAGACAGATCCATACGTGTCTTTTTTTTGTGTTACGTACTTAGATTATGCTTGGTAAGTGAAATGAGACTTGGTGGGCGATTTTGTGATAAGAGAGAGAAGTTATATATAGAGGGTCGTGAGGGTGTTTCACTATGCATGGGAGAAGCCAAAGTAGGTGTTGATCTTGGCGAGATTCACGACAGAGAATTCTAATCCATTTATTAATGCAATCTTGGGTGTTTACTCGGGAAGTGTCCACTTCATCACCAAAACCGGGGTGGACCGTTCGTTTCGGTTAATAATCGAAATAACCGAACCGAATGCCTACCTAAAACCAAAACACAATGGCGATAATTTTATTTTAAATTATGTATATATATATATATATTATATTCAAATACATGGTCGATTTATATTTACTTGTTCATTCGAATTTATTGGTTTTATTAGATGGATGCGTCGTGCGTGGATCATACCGTGCGACGAAAGGGTCGACGTTACATGGAATCTAACTTTTGGACTTGCATAGTATTTTGTCGAGTACGTAACTGGGACAGTTCGAGGTTGCTTGCTCTGACTCTGATGATGCTTGAAAAATATTTTGATATTTTAATTAAATCGTGATATATAATATAAAACCGTTTAAAGGATATACTTATGGTTGATAATTAATCTATGACAAAATACTTTAATTATGTTTTTATTTTATCTGAACTCAAACACGTATATTGAAGGGACAATATCTAAAATAAATAAAGCTCAATTATAGATTGATTCGGACAACTAAAATCTAAAGTTTAATTTTTGACTAAAAAGTACTTCAACTTCGTAAAAAAACAAATTAATACCTATTACCTACACTAATCAGATAGCGCCAAAAGCCTAAATCACCAAACCTATGATATAATCTAAAACGATTATTTTTTTTTTGTTTGTTGAAAAGATTTTATTTTTCATAAAATGATCTAACGTGACAACAATAATACTTGTACAACCTATATAGATTATATATCTGGTTTGTATTGATTATACAAAGTTATTATTAAAATATATTACTAACGACCAAACCTAATAATAAACAATTTTGGTAATAGTCGGGTAAATTTAATTCTTCATTTTTTATTTCGGATATGATGAATATTCATAAAATTTTATTTGTTAACGTATAAAACATAATCATTTGCACAATATATTGGTAGATTTTTTTAATTATCATCAATACTTTTGTGTGAAACATTAATAACTCTTTTAAATTATTCATCGCATCTTGACAAGTGTTTTTTCTTTTGTAATATTGTTATTATAATAGATATTAATTATATCTTTCTAAAATTTTCGGTACTTTTTTTTTTGGTGAAATCATAGTTTAGGTATCAATTATCAAGGTCAACCGAAATATAGAGTATCTTTTTTATTCTCCTTTAAAATAGTATATGAAGTTCAATATAAAATTTAGAAAACCTAAAATTTATAACTTGTTGAACACTTCAGCTCACTCAACTTGTGAAGGAATATTTTAATAGCATCAGCTAATAGTTTTCGGTATAGTGGTAATTTGGCCACAATACCAGTTCACAGATTTGGCATAATTCTCTTATTATTTATTATATGAATTATTTATTAAATGCGGAAACACATTGTATTTATACAATTGGTAATGAATTAAATTAAACCAAATCGGTTTTTGTTTAAACCGATTTCCAATACAAAGTCGAAAACCTATGGCTTTCAGATTTTCGATAATCAATCTAAATTTATGATGATATCTGCGTGTGAGTTAATCGGGGAGAATTTTATTCGTCCCAAATACTAAAAAAAAATAAAAATTTTAAAAAAATATTTGAATTTGTCAATTTTCACAAATAAAACTCCAAATAAAAAGAAATTCAAACTTTATAATGATTGTCATTTTTAAATCTAAATGATGAAATGATATAACAATATTATATGTGACAAGTCAACTGGGCTTCCCCTCACTATGCATGGGAGAAGCCAAAGTAGGTGTTGATCTTAGCAGTTTCCTCTCGATTAGCGTTTTGCACATCTTTCGTTCACATTTGGCGACAGTAGCGGACCTAAGAAAAAAATTGCCATTGGGGACATTTTCTAGGTCATATGTATACATGCATACACATGCATAATATTTATATATACATAGTTTTTTTTAATAATACGAAAGTTTACCGGACTTTTGTTCCGACTATATCTCCCAAAAGAGTGGGAAAGTCCATATAAATACTCATACCCTCGCTTGGATTTGAACCCAGAATGAAAACATGCAAATCTCCCCACTACACTACTCAAACTTGGTTCTTATACATACATAGTTACGGATATTATGGGGGGGGGGGGGTAATTCAACAATTTTGCTTTAAATGTTGCGAAAATTTTAAAAGAAATCATCTTTTTCTAAATTAATTAATGGGGTCCCATGGCCAACTTGGTGGCACTGCTGTCACTATTTAGTGTGGATTTGTGACATTTGTCCTAATCCCATGCTTCATATTAAATAACCACGAAATATCAATCATAAGTTACAATTCATGTTTGACCAATTCTTTCCGCACACTCATAAATCACATAAATGCTAATCGACATGAAACATCAATCGACTTCCACCATCATCTAAAATATTGAACATTATATATATATAATAGTACAAAGTCCTTGTGATGGGGACGCTCTTTTACTCACACACGTATATATATTGTGTACAAAGACTTTTTTTGGGGGGTATAAGGTGAAATTGTGTACAAAGACTTTAGGCCATATATATATGTCAATTAAAAAACATTGATAAATACTAATCTTCAATCTGATTCAAACCAGATGGTCATTTTCAAGTCCCATTCTATGCGTTATTAGAGCCTTTAACACTCGTAAAGCTCTTTCTTGAGGCGAGGGCTAAGGAGAACTTCGAGAGGTTTGGTTTTAGGAATGGTCAAACCAGGGCTCTCGCCCATATCGACGTCCAAACCCGAAACAGTGGTCAGATCGAAGGAATGAAGGACTCGGGCGAGCAACAGATGAAGCATTTGTAGAGCCAATGAAATTCCTGGGCATGATCTTCTTCCCGAACCAAACGGTAGGAGCTCGAAGCTTTGTCCCCTGACGCTGTACTCTGATGCCGGCCCTGTAAGAAATCTCTCTGGTCTGAACTCTTCTGGGTTTGGCCAAAATCTTGGATCCCTGTGGATCTTCCAAACGTTCACCATCAGTCTCGTCCCCGCTGTAACGTGGTAACCCGCGACCGTGCAGTCTTCAGTCGCCTCTCGCGGGCCCAAGAGAGGGGCTGCAGGGTACATTCTTAGGGTTTCCTTTGTGATTGCTTGTAGATACACTAGGTTTTCGATGTCTGAATCCACGACTTTTCTGTCTTTGCCGACGTGGAAGTCTATTTCCTCTTGTGCTTTCTTTAGTATTTCTCTGTTGTTTGCGAGAAGGGCAAAGGCCCATATCAGTGTTCCTACTAGAGTGTCGCTTCCTCCCAGAATCATTGCCTGTGGATGAAACCATTCATTACTTGTTGTACGATAACCAAAGGAAATGATCAAATCTATGTCTTTTGATACGATAAATTCATGCTGGATTTCTTTTTATATAAACCTAAATGAAAATTTTGTTATCCATGATGGTTCGAATTAGAACAACGTAGGACAAGTGCTTGAGTAATTAGTTCATTGAGGTAATAACTGTAAGCTCATGTATATGCATATCTCCAAAAAATCATTGCAACGGGTAGGGAACGTACCAGGCAAGTTGATTTGATGCAAGTCCTTTCATCGTGCTTCAGATCGGACAGCTTCCCTTGATCGGCAAGCGACAACATGACATCAATGAAATCCGAGTCACCTTCACTCTCCCCCGAAGCTCTCCTTCTTTCATGTTCTTGGAGCCATCCTTCAAGGATTCCATCGATCTCGGCTGCAGTCTTCTTCATCTCCTTCTCATAGCCCTGCAGATCAAAACGTCCCAGAAATGGAAAAGCGTCGGCTATGACAAAAAGGCCCATCAGTTGAAAGAACCGAGCTGTGGCCTTTGGGCATCGTCTCGCCTCATCAGCTTCATCCGCTGTAGCATCCCCGAACGAGTAGCGTTTCCCGGCCACCAGTTTCACGATCATGTTCAGGTTCAAGTCCTCCAACCACTGCTTCACGTCAACAAGGACTGGGCCCGAACCGCCTTTCTTGGACCACAAGCTATATATATCTTTGATGCCTATCAAAGCCATATGACATGGTTAGCGACGAATACATTTGTTATTACATCTTCCAGCAACATTAACCAACCCACTACATAAGCTTCTAAACGTGCTCGAACATAAGATTATTTCAAGCCATGAAATATCATACCCATCTCGATTTCGGATATACGGACGTGCCTAAGCATCTGAATACGCCTGTTAGAGAGAAGTTCAAAGGTAACGATCTTGCGCATTTCACGGAAATAAGAATCATAGGGCGCAAAGCCGAAGAGGGCGTAGTTATAACCCATGAGTTTTGCGCCCACGGTGTTTGGACGTGAAGCGAAGGTCTTGTCGTTCGCGGTGAGACACTCCTTAGCCACCTCCCAACTGCTCACCACCAAGGCCTTACGGCTACCGAGCCGCAGACCGAACGCTGGCCCATAATCGTCAGCTAACGCTCCCAACGTGCGGTAGAGAAGGTTGTTTTTACCGCCCAAGAGGTGAAGGTGACCTATTATGGGCCATGAACCGGCCGGTTCAGGAGCTTTTCTGTTTTCAGGTTTCTTCGTTTTCTTGAATAGAATTGCGGAAACAGAGGATATGAAAAGGAAAGCTACGAGTATGGGAAGCAAAGATCCGAGTGAAAGATCCATTTATGGTATATTCCTTCTCGGATAATGAAAAGAGAGATCTTCGTGTTTCGACATATATAGGAGAAGCCATGGGTTTATTTATATAGGGCTTTGAGGGTGCAACAGTTACGCATGCATGCATGCATCCATCCATCATCACCAAAAGCGTCATGGTGATGAGACATGAATGAAGAAGCCTTTGAATAAGTCTCCAATGGCTAAATTCATAATTTAGGGTTTGTTGACTTTTCCTATTAAATGCTTGAAGTGTTTGTCAGTTGACCCCAAAAATTTCAATAGTCTCGATTGGTTGTATTCGGTCATGCATGGATAATATCATATGACTTTAAAATTTTTAAAAAATGTCATGTCTAAGCTAACGTGGTCACAATGTTAGACACTGGATTTCAAATAATTTAGGAGATCAGTTATTATACTTTTTACATTTACATTTTATTTTGTGTTTACATTTTTTATATTTAAAATTAGATAAATATGTTTTACTATGATTATATTATGTTCCTATAAATATTGTAACTTAAACCTAACCTAGAGTAATAGTTATCTCAAACAATTTTTTTTTTCAAATCTAGCAATGTTGTTACCCACGAAACATTCGAATGATATATTAGCGATCTAACATTTTTTTAATAAACCAACACTTTTATTTTAGTTAAAAGTTATTTTTTGGAATTAGGTTTTAGTTTCCAAAATGATTTGTGCACTCATATCGTATCGAAAAAATTATCAGTTTTCGAAAACACCAAAAATAAATAATGGGAAATTAAAATATTGGATTATTATATCTAATAATTTTTGGTCAAATAAATATGAAGTTACGTTGAAACTATAATTTTTTTAAACCGAAACGAAATGGACCGGCGTCTTCCTTCTCTTTGTAATTTCATTTAACAATTCGGCAATGGATTAAGATGTGACTAATCATATAGGGATATTAATAATATTAAATATTATAACTTATAGTTAATATCAACTTGTCGATATTGATTGATATCAATTTATTTAAAGAAATAAATGCTATTGTTTCTATTTCTTTACATTTTGAGAAGTGTAATGACTTTATAAAAATTATTTATAAGCTATTTTTATTAAAGATTAGAGATGCCACTTTAATAATTTTGAATGAAAAAAATATTTGACACACAAAATTTTACCCTTCTATATAAAAAATTCAAAAGAATGTTACCTATATTTTATATATATTTCACAATAATAAAATCAAACAGAATCATAAATACATGAAAAATAAAATTAAAAAATCTTTTGAATATGAGTATAGAAATTTTTTTAAAATTGAAGCCAAATTGAATAAAAAATAAATAAAAATTGAAAATTACCTTTTGTTTTTATCAATAAAAGATAAATTTAAACTGAAACTAAACCGAGTATAACTTGAACCAAATTTAATAGAGCATTATAAAAAATAACTTCCCTTTACTATTTTGACTTCAATGTCATTGTCAGTCAACTAAGTAGGGTCCGAGGTCCCATACCATTCTCCAAATGTGACAATATGACCAGAATGACAATATGATCACATGATAAAACTTTAAATTTATGGTGATCATAATAATAAATCACCATGGTCACACTTTACATATCACACTAATCACTTGATAAAACCATTATAAATTTAATGTTATGACCAATATGATCACGATGTGATTATAATGTCATTATAGTCGTATGGTCACATCTGAAGAACGATATGAATTGAAATCAAAATAGTAAATGGATGATATTTTTTATATATCCGCAAATTAATTTAAAACCAAATAATTATAATTTTTTAAATCAAAATAACCTAATAATTAGATCCAAAATTGGAAATAGTCACATTATACGTTTCAACCTTTTGAGCGAGTAAAAAGAAAGGGAAATAATGCATTTCTGAGTAGTGAAATTTCAACGTTTTTTTTTTCTGGAGAAAAATTCTATTTGACTTGGTCAGTCATATAGTATATTTCTTTAAAATATATGAAATTTATAGAAACTTTGATTCGGCCCATCCTTCAAATTCCAACTATAGAATTTTCAAAGCATTTTGTTCCAACTCGGAGGAAAAAAAAGGCCATGCGGTATTTTCGTTTGGAAAGGTTTGTAATTTTTGGCGATTTTTTTAATTTAGACGCTATTTTTTTATTTCATTTAATTTTACAATGGGGTGAATTTGTTAGAAGTAACAATTAGGAATGGATATTTTGCATTTTAATTCGATTATGTTTGGATTTAGGCTTTATAGCATTGAAAAATTATTTTTATATTTGTTTTGTACATATAATATGAAATAATATCTTTAGGAGGCAGCAATCATACTCATTTTGTAATTCTCCAATGCCAAGACTTGAAGCGGAATTTTCTTATGTAATTTTACGATCCTTTTTCCTCCTGCAAAAAAGGTCATTAAAGTGTGTAGAAAAAACTTTTTGGTTTATTTATAGCCGTTAATTAATTTGGACAGCGAATTAACAGCCTATCGAGATTTGGTGAGTTAATTTAATTTGCATGCAGCAATTGAATGTAGAAAATGTTAGAAATCTGGGATATAAAAAGAAGAACAATAACAGAAAAATAAATAGGAACCGTATAACTCTTCAAGGCGTGATACACTTTCCTAAAAACGTTATTCCGTCCTATACGAGCAAAGGACTTTCCGGAATACGTCTTTGAGATACAATGAAGAGAGAAGTGATCTTAGTTTGCTCTACTAAGAACACAAACACAGGAAATTGCAAGAAGAAGATGAACAAAAGGCTTTTGTGGGTGTTTTGCAAGAACAACCACAAAAGTGCTCTCAAATCTCTCAAAAAACGAATTAGATCTGTTCTCTTGTGTTAGGATGTCCAGGGGTGTTAATCAACACTCCAAATGTCGAAAGGTGTGAAGAAATCGGAAGTTTTTCCCGAACGGTCGCGATTTTCCGCTCAATCCGAACTGCTCAGAAAAAACGGGCTGCCCGCCCGTTTTGTCGAGCTACCCGCCCGTTTATTTCTGAATTGCTCAGAAAAAACAGGCTGCCCTCCCGGTTTTCCCGAGCTACCGCCCATTTATTTATGAGCTTTATTCCTCAGAAAAAATAGGCTGCCAGCTCATATTTTCGAGCTGCCCTCCCATTTTTTCTGAGATTACCTTTCACGTTCAAAACCGAACGTAAACTCTTTCGACGTATCCCTAACACTTAGCCAATTCATACCACGTCTTTTACAAGCATTTAACTCCTCCACCATACTTGTAATACACGTTAAACATGAATCCTTTTGAGAGATTCTAAATTCCCATTCATTTACTCTAAAAATACCAACATGTTCAACACTTGGGAAGTCCATCCAAAAGGGAAGTCCATCCAAAAGAAACACTTGGGAAGTCTAAACCAAGACACCAACAATAACCATGGCGTGTCTAACTATCGAAAAAACCAGATCATATGCAATTATTTAATTCAAGTTATATAAGAAAGTATTTTTAAAATTTTATTAAATAAAAAACAAGTGTGAGTGTGTCTCTATACATATGTGATAGTTTATTTTTAATAAAACTTATAATAAATAATTAAATTAAATGAATTTTATAACGAACGTAAATTCTATTATTATATATTCTTTTCGGTAATTATATAAAATTTTATTTTAAAATGATTTGTTTTTTTTTTGGCTGAGTATTTTTTATGGTTGAAAATTTATCGGTATAGAATAAAATTGGCATGTTATTCACCGGATCGAAATGGATAATTAAATAATGGTGATAAAAGAAACCAAGCATGATTGGATAAGACGTTGAGTTGAGATTCCTCTAACTGTGATTTAATCAATAGGCTCAAGACCCATCCCTATTGTCATTTTGTGCAACATGTTCCTTGACAAACTCTTGGTAAGAGCATCAGCCAAATTTTGTTTTGTACGCACAAAATCCACCACTATGGCCCCGTCTTTTATTAGACCATTCACATAGCTATGTCGTAAACCAATATGTCTAGACTTCCCGTTATACACATGGCTATATGCCTTAGCCAAAGTTGATGCGCTATCACAATGTATTGTGACAGGCGATACCGGTTTAGGCCATAATGGTATCTCGAATACCAGATTCCTTAGCCATTCTGCTTCTTTTCCCGCAGATGCTAAGGCAATAAACTCCGACGCCATCGTCGAATCGGAAATGCAAGTTTGTTTCTTGGAAGCCCAAGAAATCGCAGCTCCACCTAATAGATAAAGCCAACCACTCACCGAGGCATGATCCTCCTCACTTGAGTTCCAACTCGCATCCGTGTATCCTTCTAACACCGAAGGTTGACCCGTGTAGCGAAGACCGTAATTTATGGTCTGTTTCAAGTATCGAAATACTCTCCGTACAGCATGCCAATGATGTACGCTTGGGTTACTAGTGTACCTACTCAACTTACCAACCACGTATGCTATGTCGGGTCTAGTGCTAGTCATAGCATACATTAAGCATCCAATGACACTAGCATATTCAAGTTGAGATACCGGTTCCCCTTTGTTCGCTTCCAATTTAACATTGCAGTCCATCGGTGTAGAAACAAGAGTGCTATCGTAGAGATCAAAACGTTTCAGAACTTTCTCAATGTAATGAGATTGAGAAAGTGAAATCGTACCATGATCTCTTATTATCCTAATTCCAAGGATAACATCCGCCTCTCCTAGATCTTTCATCGAAAATTTCGATGACAAGAACTCTTTTGTTTTCTTGACTTGCTCTAATTCCGTACCGAATATGAGCATGTCATCCACGTATAAGCAAATGATAACCCCATGACCATTCTCGTCAAACTTGCTATATACGCATTTGTCCGATTGATTCAGACGGAACCCGTTAGCCAATACTACCTCATCAAATTTTGATGCCATTGTTTGGGTGCTTGTTTCAACCCGTACAATGATTTGACTAACTTACACACTTTGTGTGCTTGA